ATATATGTGTGTGTATGTATGTATGTATGTATATATATATATATATGAAAAGAAACAGACTGCATACACTATTGTCAACATAAGACCTGTAAACATTTTACTTTTAGGTAATATTTTTTTTTAAAAATCAAAGAAATATGTAGAAATACTTTGTGCATTGAGATTTTAAGTTGTTACAATACTTTTCTCAAACCATAAATAATCAAACAGCGGTTCAAACTAAATATAGAAAAACACTGAAATTGATCTCGTTCGACTTTGAGAATTGTGTAAATTAAACGATCTCGGTTGTATAAAACCATCTTCTAAACATTTGACAGTTCTCTTGTTGACCCGACGTTGACACTGAAACATTTTTATCGGTTCTTCTTCTAAAAGCCTTAAAGGGTTTCACGTCTTGTTTCGAAACACCTTTAATGGTTTCATCCCCGTGTCTTACAAGCACAGAGCGTCTGCCTCTGTTCGTCTGAACAATTCATTAGGTTTATTTTTCCATCAGTTTGAATCGAGTTTGGAGCAGAGCTGGGACAGATTAGTGGAAAACAACAAAGGCAACGTCCACCCTGCATGTCTCAGTTTGAAGAGCAGGTCACATCAGGCTTGTGTGGAAACCAACTCAAAGCCAGAGGTCAAAAGATCTTGCACTGGTTGATGCTAAACACTCGTCTCCGCTCCCGTTTCTTGTACTTGTTGAAAACTGTCCGCACGGCGTACTCGAACACCTGCTGCACGCCGCGGTTGCTTAAGGACGAGCACTCCAGGTAGCCCTTAGCGTGCACCTCGTGAGCCACTCGTTTCCCCTCAGCAGGTGAGATGCAGCTGCCTCGATGGACCCCCGCCTCCCTCAGGTCCGTCTGCGTTGCCACGACCAGCACCGGCACCTTGGGCAGGTTTTCCCGCACCTCGGCGATCCACTTGCGCTGGATGCTGGCTAGAGAGTGAGGGTTGGCCACAGAGTAGCACATGAGGACGACGTCGGCCTGTTGGTACGACCTGGGTCGGATCTGCCTGAAGTTGTCGTTACCCGCCGTGTCCCACAGCCCGAGGCTGATCTGGACCCCGTCCATGTAGACCTCCACGCCCGTGTTGTCAAAAACCGTTGGCTTGTAAGAGTCCGGAAAGGTCTCTGAAGTGAAACGGACCAGCAGGGCCGTCTTACCGACCGCACTGTCCCCGACCAGGACGCACTTCACCGACAACTCCGTCATGTCGTTCATGTTTGCTGCGACGTCTTGGCAGAAAGTCAAAGGTCAACTTTTTCCTGTCAGTTCAGTCAGACACAAGGTTCTCCTCTCGCACAGACTGATGTCAGGTTCACCACAAGCAACACTTAGACCTGCTTTGTGGAAACTCCATGTCTAGAAACGCTCTTCTGCAGAACCGGTTCAGCTAATCAAACTGAACAATGACGCGTTTCCTCTGAAGGGTTGCTCCTGCAGTCGGCACCTCTCCTGCACACGAGCTTTACGTAAACCTCTCACTTCTTTAGGCCACGTTGGCTCGTCTCACTTCGGCTCGGTCTCTGCTGGGCCGTGGTCCAGGTCACGCACTTCTCCTCCGCCATCTTCTAAATCATACGTCTGAACATTCAAGGTTGAACCTTTTGTCGCTGATAGGGGGAAGAGAGAAGAAAAGTCGTTAGCAGGACGAAGAATCCATCCACGATGGTTAGAAACTGTAATATTTAATCGTTTATTTCACTGAAATGTCTGATCGTTGGTTATCTTTATGTCAGCAGCAAGCCTCCAGACTAAGAGCTGACATCTTGAACAGGCGCTCGTCAATAACACAAAGCATCAACGTCACCAGGAAGATTCATTTATCTTCCTGCAGTCATTCTGTTCTACCTCCGTCACACCAAAAGAAACATCTAGATTCTGCGGTGTGGTCTCAGAACGCACAGCTACATGGACTGATGTTTCATACTGGAAGAATTAAACACCGATTGGGTGTTTTCATGAGTCCAACCTTGTGAACTTGTAATCGAGTTAACCGAAAAACCACCTGCTGTGTCTTTTGGATGGAAAGACCTAAACCATCATGGGCGCATTAATCAGAAGGTTTTCCACCATTCAGCTCAATGATCTCGCAAGAAGAAACCTCCGCTTGTTGTAATTAAAAGAAAAGCAAATATTTAGGCATAAATGAAATAATCCATATGTATTTCCTTAATAATTGGGCCTAATTGTTATATATTACTTGATTTTGGAGTCAAATGTAAAGAGAAAACATCAAACATGTCCATAAACACACATGTGTTGCATTATACAAACTATTTCTGAATATAAAGGGCAAAAGATGTTCGGGCCTACCTTTGTCAGTCGGCTCGGTCTTTGTGAAGCGGATGTTGGCTGCCGCCTGAGAAACTTCACAGAGTTGAAAACTTTAATCTCTACTTGTTTATCAACCGTTACAGGCTGATCAATAAAACCTCGCAGTACAAGCTGGAGTTGATTAGCTGAGGTGAGATCCTGCGGATCCTTCAGAGCTGTTTGGTTGGAGACTTTAGAGAAGTCAAAATTACCAGAAAAAAAAGAGAGCCCAAGACACATCCGCTTGTCGTAGTGTGGAGGTGTGACTGAATGAGACTGAGCCTGAGGAGCTCGCCTCCCCCACAGCAGCTGCACCTCACGAAAAACTCTTTCTTCTTCTTCTTCTTCTTCTCTCTCTCCTGCTGACTATTTGTACCATTCTGCTTTTTACTGCAGGTGCAAACAAAAGAGCTGCAACTGCCGCACGCCATAAGTTCTCAAAAGACCTTGCTGCAATATGTTCTTTAAGAAAAAATAAGCAATCGTTTAAAATGTTTTAAATGATCAAATTAAAAGGAATGTATATCACCTGCCGGATGTCAGGCCAGAGATCTTAAACTGCTGAGAAATGACTTTTGGTCAAACTTGTAAACGACATTACGACATTTTCTCTGGCAAACTTGAAAACTTCTCATGCTGTAATATTTTGGATGGATGTGCAAAGACTCATCACAGAAAACGTTGGAAATTATACTATTGAAATTACAAATATTGCTCAGCTAACAATTCAGCCTTTTCTTCAGATGAAATATAATAAATCTAATTATAATTCTGGCAAAATATTATATCCACAAGATGAAATGGAGTGAAAGAATGCCCTCATTTAATAATTTTAAATAAACTGACTTAAAAACATATATTGCCTCTGTTGAAAAACTTAATTTAAATAATCAGAAACTCGTAAAAACAATAACTCTTCTTAACAAATTTAACTTAATCTCATAAACAGACCCGTGTTATATTGTTTTTTACTTTTCTTTTTGTTGAAACAGACCCTTTATTATATAAATATGAATGTATGTTTGTGCATTTGTTAAGAAAATAGTGTTTGTATAGACTAAAAGGTACACATTATTTTATTTTACCCATTTATGTATACATTTATTTCACTTTTTTAACTTTATTGATTTTATCTTGTATATGGCAAGATCTTAACACAAATACAGCCAATGTTTGAGGTTATTTTATATTATTTATAAATCATTATTCCTCCGTTTATTATCTTTTCTTTAATGCAATCTGATGTTACTTACTGTGTTGAAGACCATTATATGTAATGTTATTTGATTGAAATAAAGTACATTTTGAAAAAAACAAAAACTTGTGAGACGTCGCCAGATGCGTTAGTGCTTGAAGTGCATGTTCAGGGTCACTCTCAGCTACTACCAAACCAAACTTGAGCTCCATGTTTGTCAAACTGACCCGGTTAGAGACATGTTTGTGTTTGATAAGGTCAGCTGTGATGGTCCTTTTGAATCAGGTCGACTCCAAATGTTGATCGGTTCTAGACGTTAGTCGGTGCCTCGGGTGGAGGAGTTTACGTATCTGAGCGTCTTGTTCACAAGCGATGGCAGGATGGAACGAGAGTTGGATGGACCAGGCCTCGTCCTCAGTAATGAGGGCGTTGCTTCGGTTGGTTGAATGGTGAAGCTCTGGATTTACTGTTCCGTCTGCGCTCCAACCCTCACATGTGGTCATAAAGTTTGGAGCATGACCAAAAGAACCAGATCCTGATACAAGTCGAAATGAGCTTCGTTCGTAGGCCGGCTGGACTCGGCCTTGGAGAGGAGGAGCTCCGTCACCCGGGGGGAGTAGAGCTGCTGCTGCTCCTCCGCATCGAAAGGAGGTGGTTCATCTGATCAAAATGCCTCCTGAACCCTTTGGAGGTTTTCCAGGCCAGTCCCATCGGTAGAAGGCCCCGGGGCAGATCCAGAACTACTTGGAGGGATCGTGTCTGCCCTGGAAATGCCTCTGGGCCCCCCAGGAGGAGCTGGAGAGTGTCTGGTGAGAGGGAGGTCTGGGTTTCTCTCCTGGACTAGAGAAGAGATAGACCTTCAGCTCGACTCTCAGCTACCACACCATATTTTAGCTCATTGTGTCTAAAACAGGCTGTTATGACCCTTTTGTGTTTACCAAGGTCACTTATATGTGGCGGCCATCTTGAATGGGGTTTGCACCAACTGTCATCCATTTTGTTTGACAGAAAATTCACATTAAATATGAATCTCAAAGATGGAAAATAGTTTGAATTTATCCCTCCATCTGCAGATCTGGTGGATTTTTGGACAACTCAGTCAGCTGTTTACTGTGAACAGTATGGATGTAAATAAATCTTCACGAAAATAAACAGACTGGAGTGCAGCGTGCAGAATGAATCTGTATGGGATCAAATCACATTAGACCAGCATGACATGACTTCATAGCCACTCAGAAAGCTGTTTCTAAATATCTGCTGTTGTTTGGAAGTTTGTTGATGAGCCTGAGCTTTTACCGAACGTGACGGAGCACCGTGTCACCATCACCATCACCAAGTGACTCCAGGAACAAAACATCAATGTTTTGGTTCACGGCCAGAAAACTCCCACTAAACCCATCAGAACTTGTGGTCAATCCTACAGAGTTGGGTGGACGATCTCTAAATATTGATTATGGAAGAATCGTCGACCATCAGTCAGGATTTGTCCCAGTATCTCATTTTACAGACAATAATTGGAATTCCTTTGTACTGGTAATAAACCCTTAAAAACAAGCTGACGCTTCCAGTCTCCCTTATTTTCTTGCTCTCTACCAATAATAATAATAATAATAATAAAATAATAATAATAATAATAATAATAATAATAATAAATTAATTAGGAAAGATTAAAAAAAAGTACTGCCTGAGTAGATATAAAAAAATAATAATAATTTAATTTCCAGACCTCAGACTAAGTTTACAACAAATAGTAATGTTTGTGTCATGGTCATTTATAGCTGGTCAATGCAGAATTATATATATATGTACGTATGTACATATGTATGTATATATGTACGTGTATGTATATATATATATATATGTGTGTACATATATATATTTTTTTTTCTTTTTTTTTTCATTTAGCCTTTATTTATACAGGTAGTCTCATTGAGCCACGAGAACTCATTTTCAAGAGAGACCTGTTTAGGGAGCAGATGGGGGTTAAGGGCCTTGCTCATGGGCCCAGAGTGAGGCGAATGAGGGTGGGGGCAAGTGTGGGTGTTTCACCTACCCCACCCACAATTTTGATGTTGTCGGGGCGTGAACCAGCGATCTTCAGATCACAGGCCCACCTCTCTAACCTCTGCGCCACCACTCCCAT